CTGGATATTCATGTAGTTGGCGAAATAATACGGCGATAAGAGAGAGGGCTTCACTATAGAAATCGACTAATTATTCATAAATTTGACACCCGAGGGACACCAACATGGCGGACACTAACTTCAGCAAAGCTTGTGACGTCACCTGAAACCCAACCATTGTGTAAGTGGGAGCAATTCTCCATTCACACCATAGTGAGAAACAGCTCCTGTCGAGTTGATCGTCTTGCCACCGATTGGCCACTAACTTGCCTTGCCATCTCTGTTCTTCGATCCCCTGGCGACGCTTAATATACAAGGCTTTCTTGGCGAACACTCCGATCTTCTTCTTTTCAACCAGTTCCCCTTCCTCTGTCCGGCCAACTGGCTCTGGGTGTTCTAGTTCGAGCTCAATCCCAAGCTCCCTTGCAAAACCGTTCGCGTCCTTCAGCATAGAACGTCGCCCCTTCTCGACAGCCCTCTCTTAAGGATAATACAGATAATAGACAGATAATAATAATAACGTTTCTTAGCAAACAACCAGTTTGGTTGCTAAGAAACGTTATTATTATTATTATTACTACTATTATTATTATTATTATTATTATTATTATTATTATTATGGTGAACCAAGCGAGGACAAGGGGTGAGAACGAGCTAAGTATGTGACGAGAGGGTGGGAGACTGCCTCGTCCATAGTTCGACGCAATCATTTTGGGAATTGTTAAATTAATCCTTGAGGACAGTGGAGGGCGAACGCAGTAATGGGAAGGAGAGAAAGGGCTGTAATGAATCTTTTACACTCTGCGCTCGTCTGTTAGCATTTCAAATTTGACTCCTCTCCCCGTACACTTGTCTCCTGCTCCCCGCTCTAAATTGTTCACCCCATTCAGCTTAGAAAGCTTCTAGAGAAGGTGGATTCAAGGAACCGCTCTCCTTATCATTTGCACGCTTTTCTTCTATGCCTCCGAGCAACTTTCGCCTAGCTAGAAAGAAACAGAAAAGACTACCACACGGACTTATGAGGTAGTCGTTTCCAGAATGTTGTTCATATTGTGACAAATGTAAACCGCTCTCAGTGAAAACCATCTGACACACCATCCTTTATTTATGTACATGTCTTCAGGTTCGTTGTTAAAGACTCTGAGGAAGAACGTATGCTCGAATTTCAGGAGAAAAAGAGAGAATTGATAGCAGGAGGATTTAATACCAAATCAACTGCGGCAGAAGATGGACGCCAACAGAGAACACAAGACTTTAGAACACTCATGGACTTCTAGACTTGATTAGTTCTTCTAAGATATTAATATCTCTCATCTTTATTACGGTCTTAATTTACTGGTTTACACCTGTGATACAATGAAAAACCGCATAGTTGTAAAGAGATACGGAAAACATTTTCTCCCGTATGACACACGCTTTAGAGATTTTGTTTAGTTGTTCACGGCAGGCCTTATTCAAAATTACAGTGATAATGGGAATCAAATTCTGGGCTTTGAAAAATGACTGCTTGATTCTGGATGACCGCTACATATAGCTATTAGTCCATGGGTTAGTGTTAGGCTTATGGGTTCCTCTGTCTGCAGGCTTTCATTTGAGGTCAGCATAGACTTGTAACTGCAGTTTCCGTGGAGGTCTGGGAAGCAGGAATCTTTCCCGATAAACACGTCATGTAAGCAGTAAGGAACCTAGTGGGCTGTTTCGTTCATGGCTGACTCAGATGATGAGCGAAGAAAGGTAAACTAAGTAAACTTTTGAGACTTTTACCTTTATCTAGTTATGTTTTCAAAAATTAGATTTACGTCTTCTTATTTTTATGTTAAAGTAACTACTTTTGGCTGACGTAAGGCTCATATAAATTTAGAAATCTTTCAAATTAATCCCAAACGAACTACTTTGTCGATATCAGATTACGTTGTCCTTGGATACGAACGAATCCTCAATAAATTTTATCCGAATAATTTTATCTTGGACAGTGATCTTGTAATCTTTATTTTTCCTCGTAATGAGATGAAATTTTTACCTTTTTCTGGAAGTTAATGGAGAAAACTGTTCGCCCTTGTCTGTTAGATTTTATCTCAAACTAATCACATTTTAAGTTGAAAATACCTGCGTTAAGCACTATTAATTCTGGTGTTCTGAGATGTTGATGTCGCAAGCCCTGATAAAAACACACATAAGAGAATTATAGGTTACCCAAAAAGAAATGTAGAGACCACATACACCATTAGTTTAACACATGATTATGCAGTCTTTAAAGAAAGTATTTATGACTTGCAGCTTGTCGTGAATCAACCGTATGATGAAGCTCTTGAAGTAAACGACGACGAAGAAGTAGCGAGCACATTTACTCCAAGTCCTAGGCCTGTAGGGGGGAAACCAGGAGGATACAATCGAGGTGAGCAAATCATTGCATCAGTTGAAGCTTTCTGGTATAAATTGCCCCTCAAAGAGAAGGCAGATCAAGCAATAGAGCATGCAGAACAGAGCATCAAAGTGAATTTGGTAATCCTCAATCTGAGAAAATCTGGGTGACACACAATCTATGGTTGGTGAAAAAAGTGCTAATTTTCAAAAGACACTTCACCAAGGCTTTTTACAGTCACTCATTTAAAGACGCCATCTTTTCCAATAGGGATTATCCATAGTGGTGTGAATTCAAATATTAGCTACACTTCTGAATACAAACTCTGTCCATTGGGACTCCAGTTTTTACTATTCCTTGCTCTGGACAAAAAAGTTCAATAATTCCCTTTATTTTCAAATCTGTGTATTAGAGCTAAAAGTAGGTTTATCTTAAAGACAGTAACTCTGTTTACAGGAATTGGATCCATCTCGATGACTGACCAAAGTGATGATGAGTTTGACCATGATGACTTAGTTGAAAGGAAGGTTGGTAATAAGACATGTGAAGTGATTACCCTCACATATGGATAATTTGAAAGAGGCTGTTTGGTATTGTGTTGATAAAGTTAATTGTAATGATAGATAAATATGATTAATCAATTTTTACGGTGAACATCCATGATTCTGACCTATAATGATGAATAGTTTGTATAGAGACAGGAAAATGTCTGTTTTTTTTGGGTGGGGAGAGAGGTGGCTTTTACAGTCCTGAACATTCTTCTGCTCTATAAAAATTCAAATGAGAAAAAGCAACAATGCAGTCGATGGTTTGACAACTGTCTGTTCGACCTCTCATCGACCATAAATTGATAACATTCTATTGAACAATGCAGTCCTGAAACAATTAACTGATTTTGGTTTTTCACTTGGTCAGTGACGTCTATCTCTTTGTTTGCAATGGAATGTATATGTTGCAGGTAAAAATTAAATTCAGGTAAAAATTTTTTAACCTAGGTTGAATTTCAATTTCTTTTGTCTCCGAGCCCTAATTATTCACAATTAGGGCTTGGAGACAAAGAGAATTGAAATTCAACGTAGGTTAAAATTTTTTTACCTGAATTTAATTTTTACCTGCAACATATATATATTGTGGTTATTCAAAAAGCATGTTTTTTCCAGGAACTTCCAGCAGGAGGATATTCCCGGCCAAAAGAGGCTTTACAGGGGGTTAAGGAACGCCCTGGGAGACCAACTGGCCAGGAAATACCTACTCAACAAAACGATGATGATGATGATGATGAAGGTGATGAACAGAGTGACAGCTCAGAGGAAGATGACGATGATGAAGATGCACATGGAACTGCACCAGAGGGGTATGACAATAAAATGGATAGGTCAGCAGAAAAGCTGTTTTCAAAAAATAAATTTTTTCAATCTGCAAAATGTTACTCTCTGGGTATACTTGTTTTATTCTGATTCTTTTGTAGCCACTTGGTCTTTCTCCTCTAAAACAGAGTGAGTGGGGACACATGCCACTAGTCTGTAAGATGATCTGAAAATCAGACTAGTTGTAACCCAATAAAAATCTACCCTTAGTAATAAAAGACATATTGCTACTAGTGATAATTGTTAGTGTTATGACAGTCACTTTTTTTTCAACCTTTCAGAGCTTATGACCCAGCTGATTATGAACATCTTCCTGTGAGTCAAGAAATCAAGGAACTTTTTCAGTACATCACTCGGTATGTTCTGGTGACAGCTGCCATGCCATTTCACCTCTATTTTTTAGATGGTGCATAAATTTAAGTTTTTGAGTTGATAAAGGAGTACTGAATCAATTTTTCTTATTTCTGGAGATATTTTATTGTTTATTATTATTATTATTATTATTATTATTATTATATATTATTTTAATTTGTTATTATTACTATCATCATACTGAAATATTAAAAAAATTGTTAGAATTAAAGTAAGATAATTTGTTAATTGTGTTTAAAATTCCATGATTTTATTATAGGTATACTCCACAATCAATTGATTTGGAGCACAAATTGAAGCCGTTCAATCCTGATTTTATTCCTGCTGTTGGAGATATTGATGCATTCTTAAAGGTTAGGAGACCAGGATTGTGATCACTGCTATATATGTATGTCTCTAGTTCAAGGAATTATATAAAAACAGTTTAGGATAACACTGCTTGGTTGAACTTTAACATTAAATATATGTATCTTTATATGAAGTGTAAATTTTTAATAATATAATGCAATTTATTGTTTAAAACAATTTAAAATCAGTAGTGGAATGTTTGTAAACAGGTACATGAATCAGAGTTTTCCAATGGAGTTTACCCCTGTGTGAAAGAAAGAAGCAATACTTAATATAAGTTCTTTTTGCTTAAGAACTTGTTAATGCTCTTAAATTCATATTATTTTGTAGGTTACACGACCAGATGGTAAACCAGAGACTTTGGGATTGGTGGTCCTTGATGAACCAATGGCCAATCAATCTGACCCAACTGGTATAATTCATTATTGAGTAACCTAATAGTGTTAATTAATAAATGACAACTATTAATTAATGATGATTTTTAGCACTGCCAGCTTCTTACCCTCAGCTCTCTTCATTTCAGTGCTGGATCTTCAACTGAGAACCATTTCCAAACAGACAAATCTAAAAGCCATGGTAAGTGTAAGTTCTGTGGCATGATGCCAGATCCATGCCTGACTCAGCAATATTTTGCAATGTTTTATATTAAAATGCACTGTATTGCATTTGGCTATAACAGCTAAGGACTTAACCCTTTTAAATCCCACTAGTGAACAAGACAGAAATTCTCCATATGATATTGATACAATATCAAGTAGACATTAGTGATAAGGATAATAAAAAATTGCCACTAAGGGGATTATTAATTGATCCAATACCAAGCTTTCCGTATCAAAATCACAAGGATTATATGACAGGAAGTAGAGAATTACTGCTAAGATGGGAAATGTAGACACTGCTATCTACATACCTTAAGTTTTTTTTACAGGAGGAGGTGTTGGTCGTAACATTTTGAGTCCTTTTTATTTTTAGCCAAATGCAAGAATACCTTCAGCTTGATGGATGATACAGAATTTTTGTTTGATAGAAAAAGATTTCAAAGGCAGTAATAAGGAAGAACTGAGAATATTAAAATGAATAGCAAATGATAAACAAATTGCTAATTATGTGAGAAACTTAAAATGTGATATGCACATGTTCTTAAATAAGATTGGGGAAGTAGACCTAACATTTCAGCTCTCAAATCTAATCTAAACCTCAAGTGTTCATTACTATTAATATCAAATTTTTTTAAAATAACGATACAGTATTATTTTTTATCCCTTGTTTGTTTCAGGCTGTACGCAGCATTGAAGATCCAGAAAAAAATCCTAAAGCTGTTGATAACTGGATTGATAGTATCAGGTACCTTAACCCTTTTTCGTCTCTTAGGATCCTTTCCATCTGTGTCTGCTGTGATATAACTTTCCAGACTGTGCATGTGTTACTGGTACTTGTATGTTTATTTTGTTTGTTTGGTTGTATTTTGTGTGGCTCCTTGCAGCATCGCACTCCAAAAAATATATAAATGAGAAGATGATGTTGATTCAAAGTAGGAGATTAATTTTAACAATTTTGAATGCTTCTTTGACAGGGAATTGCATCGTCAAAAACCAGCTCCAACAGTTCATTATCAAAGGTAAGGTGGTAAACTGGTTGTGACTGAGTACAATGTTTTCCATCATCGATGACTGTAATTAACTTTTCACAATTATCTGTAATTATTTGACAGAGGCATTTGGTTAAGAAAGGCAAGCTTAATGCCTTGGTCAGTCTAGGGATAACTTTGTGCACTCATTTATTCTGTTCTTAACTTAGGAACATGCCTGACATTGATTCTCTTATGCAAGAGTGGCCACCAGAATTTGAGGACCTACTGAATCAGGTAGACTTAAAATAAACAACTTTTCTGGTATTCAGTGGTTACACATCCATAAAGTTGTTGTATTTGTGTCATATTCAGTGAGATTCAACATGTTCTTGTCATACATACAATTTTAATTAAACTGTCCTTTCATCAACAGGTTGGGCTTCCAACAGCTGATCTTGATGTTGAGTTGCATCAATATGTTGATCTAATATGCGGTAAGTGGTTCAATCTTTACTCTAACTGAAAATTAGTTTCTAAAAGTTCAATGTAAAGCCGGGAAGACATAGTAGTTACTGTTATGTCTACGCGATCAGGTAAATTCCACAGCATTTAGAATTTTTCTTTCTTAATTTTGTTTTCTGATTATAATAAGGTGTGAATTTTCTTTTTCTTATTTGGTAACAGGAATCCTTGATATACCAGTGCACAATAACAGGATTCATGCCATGCATGTTCTTTTTACATTATTCTCAGAGTTCAAGAACTCTCAGGTGTGTGATCAGAAAGATTGTTGAATGGGTAATATTTTTTTAAACAGCTTTGATATAACAAGAAGTCTGCTAGTGGTGAATCTTGGTTTGTTGGCCAAAAAAATGTGGAAACCAGTGTAATAACCCTTTCACCCCTACAAGAGATTTGCTTGTAATTTCTCCACAAAATACCACCCCTTAATCACATATAAGGTTAGGAGAATGAAGGAAATGATCACCAACTTAAGAAGCTCTTGATTGTTAAACAAATTCTCCTTGTCAGCACCTTAGGAAATATATAGAGAACTGTATGGAGAATAAGCATTCTGATACTAGGGTGTAAAGGATTACAAGATAAAGTGGGAGCAGGGGATAGAGGATAGTGCCTGCAATCAAATAATATGCGTGAAAATGACTGAAGGTGGCTGGGGTGTTGATAGCTCCTTTTTCCACACCCTTGAAAAAATTATCTTCTCTACTAGCCAGGGGAAGACAAGTTAATCTCTATCTATTTTCACCTCAAATTAAATCTTCTGTTGGTGAAAAATTATTTCAGTTGATGGCAATAAGAGTTATCAGAAATTGTTTTCCCTTCTTGCAACCCTTCAATCAATTTTATGTCTTTTTCATGCACATAACAGCATTTCCATCAACTGGCCAAAGATAACCAAATGGCAAATGAGTTTAAAGTGGACAATGGTGGTGGCATTGGGGGAATGACAGCTGCAGCAGAGCACTTGACTCTGAATGGTGGAGATACTCAGACTTTGAGCTTTGATGACTAGAACATAACACTGCATGTACACTTTCTTGTAGATACATGTACAAAGCCAAGTTTGCCATTTTACTACAACAGTAGTTTGAATGAACTTTTTTTGCAAGTGTTCAAAAGAACTGAGTGTACCTGATTTCTACATTTTACTCTCAAGGCTTTTCCCAAAATAGAACTTAATGTAAATCTGTCTGTACTGAGAAACTCTTTATGACTAAATTATTTAACTTAAGTATTTGCATAAACTCTATCTCCTTGTTTCTAAGCATAGACTCAAGACTGATACACGAGCTCTAGACCCTCTGCAGAAAATTGAGACACGATGAACAAACCCAACTTTTTAGCTCAGTATTTTTTTCGAGGGCCTGAATAAAAAGATTGATACGAGGTCTCTCTCTTTTTTTTCTTGGCTTGTGTTTGTGAGAAGTAATGTGAGTAATGAATCTTTGACTATTGCTGCCATTTTCACTATATGTGAAGATGCAAAAGTTTTGTTTTATTTCTGTTTTCACTCCTGCCAGTAAGGTACATCTACATTATTTAAGATTTTCAATAATTCAGTTTCAAAACACAAACATTATAATTTTCATGCGACTGTTTCCATGTTTATATTTAATGCAATTAAGTTGTGCAATGTAGAAACTTTGGGTGAAAGTGACTGTATAGGCTACAGGTACTGTAAATAAAATGTTCATGTACATAATGTCGTCTCATTGTTACCTTCATGTAACTATATAGAAAGCTTGTGATAATTGATCTGCCAGTTCTTCAACTATCTACAAATGAAGCTTACATTCTACAGACTAATAACCAATTAAACTAGAAGGGAAAAGATCTTCTGAAGGTGATAATTTAAATTTCTAGTGGATTCAAGCCAAATTCCAGAAGAAGCTGTTTGTTTTTCTCCTGTATTTCTGACGATTCCATCTCCCATCGTGCTCTGGCATCTTCAACTTTAATAGCCATTCTATCAAAAGCATCCTAAGAAGAATGTATAAATTAAATAAATAAGTACACCAAATAGCATTCACTGAAATTGCCATTCTTGCACTGTTTTAAGACACCCACTACTTTCACTGACAGGAAACAAGGGAAGCGAAAATTTGTCTACAGTGTAGCTGCTGTCATGTGGCTTTTTAGTAATGCCTTATTCATACATGAGAGGTTGAACGAAATCAGGCTTATTTACTTCGGATCCACAATTTCATTCATTCCTGTTTGTCTTTGAGGACTTCCTCAACACTGCTGTCTACTTTCCATCTGAAAAGATAATTATTCCTCTTAAAAGATATTCCTCTACTCTAATACATACATGGAGCACACTTTCATAGGCAGATTCCATGTGATCAATTTTAAACTGGAGTTCAGCAATGATTTCATCTTTTTCTCGCCTGATGTCATCCCTCTCTTTCCTTGTCTTCTTCAGTTCTTCTTCTGTAGAAGCTATAATTTTAAAGTATGGGTCAACTAGGACATGATCTAAGAGATTTATAATTTCTGCCTCATTGATGTCAGATAACATGCAGTTGGAAGTTGAAATAAAAGAGTGCAAAAATTAAAATAGTACCCCAGCTGGGAAGATCAGTTCTGCTAAGTCAGTCAACTTCAATGAATTCTACCCGAAGAAATAACAAGTCAAATGGATGCAGGAAAATAATGGCATCTCATTTCAAGTTTATCTAGAGAACATTTCTCAAATTCAAATGTTCCATGCCAATTTTTTTCTTCAGGGTAACAGATTGTGGATTTCTTTTAATTCAAGCATATGAGAGTACATGGAATTTAAAATGCCTTATTTTTTTAATATACATCAGGGCTCGACACTGACTTTTCAACTTACTAGCCAAGTGGCTTACTTACGACAATTTCAGTCTGTTTACTAGCCAAACTGGCTAGTGGAAATTGAAAACCACTGGCCAAAACTGAATTTCTACTACTCTGTGGCTAGTGGGCTACCGTTAGTGTCGAGCCCTGATACATGTCAAGGTTTAAGTGGGTACTATCCTCTACCAATGGTTAGCACCAACATAAAATTATTGGACTGGTTGTTGTTCAAAATAGATTCATGCTGAAATCAAAGCTCACCCAACTGTTCCCTCAGCTTATTCACGGTCTGCTCCAGCATGTGAATCCTAAGAGCCATCTCAGACTGCATCGTTTTGTATTGACGAGTAAGGTCTGAAAAATAGTTTTTCATTTACTGGTACATTACAGTTTGTATTGTTATGTGTCAATTGTCATCATGACCAAGTATTCTAGATTTCTTGGACCACACCATGCCTCTCTGAGCTGGCCCGACAATCCTTTAATCCTTAAGATACACTTGTCTAATTTCTCCCTAAATATTGCCCCTGAGTGAAACATTAAGGTAATAAGAAGAAAGGAAATGATCATCTGCAAGAAGTTCTTGTCTCATGATTGATGTACATTTTCTCCTTGTCATTATCATAAGAAACATATAGAGAACAGTAAGGAGAATATACATTTTGATGTTAGGAAATAAAGGCTTCACTTACCACTATGACCTTATAAATATAAAAAAGGCCTGATTAACTGTTGCAAGGTATTTAGGTTTAAGCAACAGACAGCGAGCCCAAGGCTCAAAGGATCAAGTAGAGAGTTAGTGCTGAATAATCCCCAGAGCTCAAGTCTGCTGCATGCTCTGTCGTTAGTTCATCTAATTTCAATCAGCTTTGTTTTTAATTAGCAGATAGCTTTTCTCTGAAGCTTCCACATCTTTGTGCCATTCTTAGCTCAATTTACCTGAAGAAATGTCCAATTTATTTTGTTGCTCAGTTTCAACTTCCTCCTTTGCTTCTCTCATTCTTTCTTTCATACGATCTGCAGTGTTCTTGGACCTTCGTGCAATTTCAGATCTTGCAGCTGAATAATAATAGTAATGATAATAATGATTTTTATTTTTCTCATATAGCACTGTTACCAATAAAGTGGCCAAATAGTACTCTACAAATACAAAAAGGGCCTGCCTACAGAAATATTAAGAGTTAAGTAAGAATGAAAAAAAGTTACCCCAGAGCTTAAAAATTTAACTTACAAGTAACCGGAAAATCAAATCTAACACACACCTTGGTAAAGAAAAATATTTTAAAAAGTATGGAAGGTAATACTGTGTATTCTTTCAGAGATTCACAGAACAGAATGAACTGTCATTTCAACAATTCTTCAACCTTCAAACGCGCTATGAAATGTTATACTGTTGTCTTAATTACTGTTTAGAGTACTTAAATTATTTGAATTTTGAATTTTTGTGGTCATTACAATTCAGAGTTATCTAAGAAAACCCAGCTATCTATATTATCCAGTATTCATAGAAGGATCTATGTCGCACTTAAAGTTTTCCCCCTTACCGAGCTCATCCTTGAGACATTCTATTTCTTCCATAGTTCTCTTGTACTTGTCCTCAATCGTCAGTTCGGTCTTCTCTTTGGAGTTCGAAAAGAATAATATTGTTTCCAAACCTGCTACTTTAGACCTAGGATTTCCCAGAAAATAGCATTTAACATCATACCATCCTTCTTCTTTTTTTTCTTTCCCTTGCCCTTTTTCTTTTTCGGTGGCATTTTGAAACGCAGTCGGGAAAGATGTCGAAACTAAAAACACTGAACCAGTGTCAAAGGTATGGTTGTTAGGACCCTATGTTTTGTTTTCACACAATGTCAGTTCAGCGGTTTTTTCAAGGAACATGCACAATAAACTGCTTTTTCACACGCAATATCCAAGATGGCGTCTCTTAGAGTTTTAGTCGGCTGTAAACGTGTCATAGATTACGCCGTAAAGGTTGGTAAAATTTATTTGAAACCGTGAGAAATTATCCAAAGTAACTGTCTTGAATTTTCTTTTTACTCTTGTAGATACGGGTAAAGCCTGACAAAACTGGCGTAGTAACTGATGGGGTCAAACACAGTATGAACCCTTTCGATGAGATTGCAGTTGAAGAGGTGATAAATATTTTTATCAATAAATATATATAATTTTTTACTTTTTTATGCCTTTTTATTTTCGGAATTTCGTGTTGTCATTGTCGCGAATTTTCT